TCCATAATAGGTGCCTACAAAAGATTCTTCCAAATCCGATGGCAAGACCGTGTCAGCACCAAAGAGCTATTGGAAAGGGCAGGCATGAAGCAACTGAGTGTGGAAGTGATGTCTCGTAGATAGAAACCGATTGGTCATATTCTTAGGAAAGATCGTAATAATGATTGTAATGTTGCTATGAGCTGGGCGCCACAAGGTAAAAGGAGAAAGGGAAGACCAAAACCCACTTGGAGACGTACAGTAGAGAAAGAAAGGTAAGAGGCGGGTTGGAGGTCGTGGGAGGAGGTGCGGACAGCAGCAACCAATTGAGAGGAGTGGAAAAGCTCTGTGAAGGCCCCATGTGCCACAAGGCATGAAAAGGATTGATGATGATGACATTTTAAGTAATTTTCACTTCCAGCTCATGATTTACAAACTTTCATTTCATTTGGTCTAAAAACATCTAAACCCTTTCATTCTTAGCAGTGATTGTGGAATAAATACTCCCCTTGATCTTTTAACTCTAGTTATTATTTCTCAATCCGTACAATCTGATTCACAATAATGATCTGACTAGACAAACTGGTTTTTTGGTATTAATCGTGAGATCTGGTTTGAAAAATCTGTAACCAGATGGAAACGTGACAAAAAATGAAAACTAACTATCAACAACAAACTAGAGCACATGGTCCATTCCATAATATGCAAACTAAACCCATTACCATCCAGGTAAGGCAATAACTAAACATGACATATTGCAATCAACAGTGATCAATGAAGAATTTCCCTTTACTCCTATTTTCAAGCAGAAAGGCAATAAGAAGAAAAGAAAATGTCAGTCAGGGAAAAACTCCTAGATTCACCACCAAATTATTCTCAATGCTCAAATTGTAAGAAATGCATGGCAGACAGCTCAGTGCAGATATCTCTATAGTGAAAGGGTTTTGAACTGCCTGTACAGCTCTCTACAGAACCGTCACCTGTTAGCAATATTATCATTATACCTCCATTCTTGATATTGAACTTGATTCCAAAGTCACCATCTGGACCTCCTGGATTGTGGCTTGCAGTGAGAAGAATCCCACCTATTAAAACAAATAAATTTATAACATAACCAAAGTAAAGCATGCACTCTGATTGGTCAATTCAGTGTCCGCCATTTGCCCATGGGTGTACACTGCTGACATGAGAAAATGCAAAGACTAGTTTTCTGCACATGCTTGTTTTTTTCTGGTCACATAAGATTTGTTAAATAAAAGAAAACTCTTTTGCTACAATGTATCAATGTCATGTTATAAAACAAATGGTAAATGCCACAGTGTACACTATTGAGTTATGGATGCACTTGTGAAGTTTGATAAGCACTCAAGAGGCTAGAGTTGCTCTCGGCCATTGCCTCGTGTGACTCTTACACTTCTTTCGTGCTAAGAAACCTCCCGCATGCATCCATAACTCAATAGTGTATGCTGTGGTGTTTACCATTTGTTAAATATAAATGCAGCACTTACAATATGTATCAAAAACCCTTTGACCACTAAGATTGTTTAACTTCCAACCATTTTTCTGTACAGAATCAACCTGGTTTATGTGTGGTATAATTAATTTTCAAAACATGTGAAAACTGTTCATAAAAAAGCCAGTGTTGATCCAATGATGGAAGCATATTTGCAACCAGCCTTTCAGTCACTATCTCTGGACTATACAAAACAATTTTGTTTTTCTTCCCTGTAAAATAATAAAGATGAAAAAATGAAACTCTTGAGCAGGCTTTTTTTTTTTTTTTTACTGTGAATAAGGGGAGGACAAAATAATATCAAACACTACATTGAATACAGAGGACATACAGTACAATAATTAAATTACTATCAATATTCACAAGCATGTCTTCCAACCTGTTGCTTTCATTTTTCTAATAATACAGGACACAGCTGGGGTTGAAAAGATGCCATTCTGACCAATAATGAGTTGACCAACCTAAAATTAAAAACATCATCAGAATTACATAATATTGATAGTATGTGGTCAAATTGCAAAATTTCCAAATATATAATATTACTTATTGCATGATTAACACTTCCTTCACCAAAATAGTCTCAAAATTCTCTGGTTTTGAATTTAAGTTGATCTAGACAGGGTTACCATTAGAAGCCAGTATGTGGCAGAAACCCGTCAGCTGTCAGGCCATTATTTTTACACAGTGACTACTTTGAGAATTATGATCAGACACAGAAAATAAGTAGTTTTGAACTGATTTTAACATATCTATGCATGCCTAGAAAAATTTAATTAAATTTGTCCTAGATTGCTGGAGATCATGTCTCAGTGAGTTTAAAATTTCAAATTTTTCCAAGGGAACATGTCCTCACACCTCAGTAGAAGGGCATTTTGCTTTGCAATATCCCCTGCTTGCAGCACATGCATAATTAAATTTAGCTGCCTCCTCAGCTCAGATCATACATTAATAACAATTTCTAATGACAACCCTGACTGAGGCATTCAAAGCTTTCAAGAGGATAACAAATCAAAGCACATACTGAAGGTACATGTACATGTAATGTTATCTGCTTGGGTCTGTTTGCCACAAACTTGGTCTAGTTTTGAAGTGCCTTTAATTAAACAAGATGATGCTTGTGTGAACTACATATCTTTATCATAGTGTAGACTAAAATCAATGGAACAACTGTATCAAATGTTTATTAACATAAATTCAAACTATAACAAAATACACTCGCAGGGAGGGGGGGGTGGTGGTGGTTAGATGGCAGACTTTAACCACTGAACCTGTCAATTCCAATTATTCCTCGAGGAATTTTAAGATTGCCTAATGGCGATATTGTTAACTCTGAATTAATAATTATACGAAAATTTAAATAATAAACAATTACTGTTACGTGGGTAACCTCATTTGAACCATTTCAATATTTTTAATCGTTTCTGTTGCCACGCGTCAAGAAAGGGGATCATTTGAAGTTCACCCAGAAATAACAACATTTATTAAACAAACACTTTATACGACAAAACCTCAACAAATAACAACAAAATGCCTGCCATATTTTGAAATTATCCCCAGGACACTCCAATATTACCAGACAAATGACATACTTCGTTTGCGGCTGCCATTCTGGCAATGATCGCAAAAGCTTCGCGCATGAAGAATCTTCCATCTCCCCCGACAACCAAGGTACATCCTCGCCTCTCTTCCACCGGGATCGACTCTAGAATACATTGTATGAAATTTTCTGTGTAGTGGGGCTGCTGGAAAACTTTCACAGCTTTCCTTAAGCCTGATGTGCCGGGTTTTTGCCCATCAAATGGCGAGGTGTCTTGCAACGTGACTGTCACCATGTTCCTTTCTTCAGCGCGGTGTTGCATCGGTAAAAAATTCAGCGGTTTTCCGAACGGGACTGAAAGGTCACGCAACCTTAAGGTGCGGTGTTTGTTACACAATAGTGTCGCTCCGATACTATTGCGTCGTTAACCATTTCGCTTCGTTTCGCTGATTGAAAGCCTGGAACAGACTTAACTTAGGAGCAACTAAAAAATAAATGTACTGCTTGAAATTGGGAAACTCCGACCAGTGATTAGTCCTGTACCCAGACCTTTCACGTCCAAGCGGTTGTGTTCACGGTATGATCTGAGTACAAAACACTTACACCCCAACATCAGTAAACATATTCTCCATACTGTTCTCTATACATTTCCTAAGGTGCTGACAAGGAGAATTTGTTTAACAATCAAGAGCTTCTTAAGTTAGTGATCATTTCCTTTATTCTCCTGACCTTAATGAATGACCCAGGGGGGATATTGTAAGGAGAAATTAGATGCTAGTCACCCATAGGCGTTAAAGTGTTCATGTTTGAGAGAAAAAGTTGTGAACGACCAAACTAACCACGGTTCGGTAGGGTGATGGCCAAATAACCAAGCACGGCAATCGCGTTACACTGATCGAGTGCTGTCACTCTAGTTCTTAAAATGGCGGAAAGTTATCAGTAAAAGCGACAGACGCTTTAAGAGGGTTTCGACAATGCGAGTGAAAACCATCATCATACAAGCAGATACCAGAGTCAATGGAATGGTTTGATTCTGAGTCATTGAAAGCGCATTGGTTAGTTTTATCGTTTAGGCTTCAAAGTCAAGCAGTGTTCTTCAGCCGTGACTGGTCAACTCCAATCCGTGCTTTAAGTTTCTGTGCGCTGAGACCGCAGGTCCTCATTTTTGGCACTTGACACGAGGCGGGAAATAATTAGACCTTAAGCAACGCCAGCGAAGTCTGTAAGGGGTCTAATGCCAGATCTCCGACAAAATATCTCACCGATTCGTCATAAATATTCACAGGAAGCGAAAGACGCGCGTCCTGTAACGCATACAATGAGGATAGACTCAGCTTTTTACACCCTTACATCGGTTTGCATTTTCTCCTAACTGTTCTCTATACATTTCCTAAGGTGCTAACAAGGAGAATTTGTTTCTCAATCAAGAGCTGCTTTAGTTGGAAATCATTTCCTTTATTCTGATCGCCTTCATGTTTGATTCAGGGGTGATTCTGTAAGGAGAAATTAGATGCTAGTCACCCTTAAAAGTTCAGGAGGTAAACTGGGGATCCAGCGATTCATTCAAGAAGAATAATAGATTTCAGTTATAGTGAACCCAATTTATTTCTGATGTTTCGTAAAGCTTCATCTTCTCCAGTCATTAATACGAACATCAAAATATTCGGCTTAACTTCAGCAATGAAAGCTGAACTACATAGCACCATAGGATAACTTCGAAAACACGATATGTAAACTATTTCGTGCAAACTAGATTGATTCTTAAAGATAAATTTTCTATTTTCGCAAATTATAATTAGTTTTATAACATGACACAATAGTGTACGCTGTGGTGTTTACCATTTGTTAAATAGTCGACCTACTACCTTGGAAATTTGGTTTCACGGATAACTTCGTTAACAGAATACAAGTCAGTCTTTTAACTCCACAAAAACAGAGATAAACACAACTTACTACGTATGATGCACGATCTTCGCAGTAGATAGCGCTATTTATGCAATAGCGAAAATCAGACCTGAAAACTTTTTTTTTCAGGTCTGATTTTCGCTATTGCATAAATAGCGCTATCTACTGCGAGGATGGCACATCATACGTATCTAATACCGCAACAACACAACTTACCGATGGCAACAACACAACTTACTGATGGCAATAAACATTGTTTTAACCTACTTAGTACCAAAGCAGTTAAAAAGAGAAATTTTCATTTGAGCGTCCAAAGTAATCCGGACTTGCTTTGTTTTTGCTAGACGACGCTCTGTGATTGGTCCAGAAAACTCGCGCCAATCTTTCAACTAATCAGATGCAAACCTAAAACCAATTACGACTTGGTCGCTCGCGCGTTTTCCCGCCCTTTGGGCAGTTTGGTCTGTTTTACTTAGAGTTCTGATTGGCTCTCAAAGATATTTCCTTTCTTTTGATTGGCCAATGTGATTACTTTGGTTTTGGTTTTACGACACTCAAAACAAAAAGCCCTCTAGCCTAGTAAAAGTTCAAAATTGAACGAAAGTTACACATTTCTTCTGTATATGGTTTTTATCTATAGTTCAAAACCACACGTTTAAATCGAAGGATTATATATCAAAAAACTCACTGGTACTTTAAATTGCTAAAATACTAAAACACATCTTAATATTTGCCGTTATGACTGGATGAGTGTGAGAGAATCCAACACCCGTTATAGGAAAAATGATATTTCACGGAGACAACACTAAAAAGAAAATCACCTGCTAGGTGCCTATCTGACAACGAGAAAAAAGTGACTCTAAGATTGAAGGTTGATTAAACAAGATCAAAATCACCAATAAAGTCTAACTTCATACTGAATCGTACAAAAGCAGCGAAAGAAAGCCAACCGAAACAACCATTGAAGAGGAAAAAACCGGGTAATTGGCAATACATAAGTGATTTTTTCAGTGTCTTCTCAACGTAACAATGCATTTGTTCTCCACAACGTTTAACATCCGGAATTTACTGCTTGCTCCTCCAGATGGTGACACTTGAGTGGCACATGTCAGACTTGCGCAGTCCTTCTCGCTTGCTTTTCACCAGGCGCAGCTCCAAAAGAGAAAATCTGAGGGTAAGAAGGGAAGAGCGATAAGTAAAGTCTTCCACGTTCATGCAATGCAATTGGGTAATTGCGTTCCACTAGGAGAAGCCTGGTGACATTCGTAAAAATTTTTTCGCGAGCGAGATTGGAGCGCGTACATGCAGATACGTGTAAGCTGATTAAGTACAAAGTTCGTGGCGGATAAGAACAAAGAGGGGGGTCGAACAAATTGCCGCACAAGCGTTAGCCCTCCTCATCCCCACCCCCCTCCCCCAATGAAAAATTAACGCTACAATGTAACAGTAATAGGAGGACGTCGGATAAACAATTAAGACAGCCATTACTTGTTTCCGAGCACAGCTTTCAGTGATTCAAGATCCCATGTGATGTTAGTCTTGATGATCAAAAGACCTTTTGGACTAATGATGTCCCATAGGCGGATCAACCACGCTACGTAAACACAGAAAAAATACACTCATCGTTAGAACCCTTTTCAACCCAATGTAACAACACCAAAACTGACATTTTCACGACAGCAAATCAGAAGTAAGGTAAAGGTCTCAAAAAGGCATTGAGAAATCAAAGAGAACCAAACAAATATGCAAATTGTAAATAGTTCTTGAATGTTTTATATTATACATAGGTTATGCCTGTTTTTATCTTTTATTGCAGTTTTCCTTCTATAACTTTTGTTTCTTCATCTTGAATAGATACGTTATGTTATATAAGTCCTGAAGAGCGGGAAAAACGCGAGAAAAACGCGAGAAAAACGCGAGTGGCCAAGTGGCGATGGGTTTAAGTCTTGCATCCGATTGGTTGGGAGCATGGCACGAGTTTCATAACCAAGTTTGGAGCGCTTTTAATTGTGATTTGACTGGCCCGGTTTTTGTTGACCCTTGATAAAGGCATATCGCGATTAAAAAAAAATCGGTTTTGAACTATACCTGATGCAGAATACAGTTCAAGAATTCAGCGCAGATATAGTTTGCGAAAATGGTTTATATCTGTATAGAGACTCTTAACCTTTTACTTCCAAGATCTGATTGTTAATTCTCCCATCTAGCTGCTACACATTTCCTTGTAAATTAGTTACGAGAATTTGGTGTTAGATCAAGATAACAACTTCTACCTGATAAGTTCGCATATTCTCTTTACTGGATAATGCACGAATATCAAAGGGAAAACTTGGATTATAATCACTTCTGGGAGTTAAAGAGTTTAAAAACTAAAAAAAGGTATGTCAAGTTGAATCCCAGTAACGGCTAAATTCGCAGACATTAAGATGAATTCTGCCAGGATAAGGTTCATTTACCTTTAACATTGGCCAGACGGTGAAGACAAGACATGACAATGACGTCATAAGTTCCAATCTCATTTGGCAGCCAGGTGAACTATGGACGAAAATATTTGAATTTCAAATTAATCAAACAAATAAAACAAACAAACGAACAATACATTATCTTACCAGAACGTACTTTCCTTTAGTGACTCAAAGTAACAACGAACAGCAACTCGGATATGGCTTTCAGCCGTTTTCCGGATTAAAAGTAAGGACGACTTTTACTTCAATAATCTCCTTTGCAGCCTTTGTTTGGTCACGTCACACAGTCTGCTCTTTTCTGACAAGTTCAAACGACTGCGCAACAGACCATCACCTCCGTAGCATCCAAATAAAAAATGCGTCACGCAATATCAACTCATCACCAGAGTAACACCTGAACAAATTCTAACAATCAGAGCCGCGGAGGCCTTGCAATGAAGTACTACTAACCTGTTGGAACATCACTTTCTCAGTATTAGCTACGATCTTGTTCAGAGGAATACCGGATAAATGTTTGTCCAGGGCGCTGGTGATCTCCAAAGATTTTCCTTGCTGAATCTTAAGGGCTGCATCGAGCAGACGCCCACTATGATCGATGGCAATCACCTGCAAGGGATAGAAAAACAATTACTTTCTTCCGAGAGGGAATAGTAAAGACATCCCTCGACTCATATGAATAAGGGAGCTAAGTTTCTAAAGAAACTGTGGTGCTGCGTCGCTGGGGAGTTTTACAAGATAACTTGGTTTTATCAACTGAGTCGACAGTCTAAATTGGTCACTGTGGAGTTTCCAAAGCTGCCGTTTCAAGCGTAAGCCCTTCCTGCAGTCAGTTTGGTTCACAGTACAGCGGGGATTCTACCTCACAGTAACGCTTTCGTAAGTTTTTTTTCCCCTTTTATCGAGGATAAAATAAAAAAGTTATTTCCCGGCTTCGGTTCGGTGTGTTAACTGTGAGATTTCATTGTTTCCTTAGGATGTTTCTTTTTGTTCTCAGTAGTAGTAGTCCTTTGGTTTTTACAACCCTTGATCCTAAAACCCTTTTGAGCGCAAGTTTGAAAGCAGGTTAATGTCTTAAAGCGCTTCTCGACTGAGTGTCGTAAAACCCAAACTAAAGTGTTCGTAACGCCCAATCAGAAGAAACAAATATACCCTTGGCAGCCAATAACTACTCAAAGTAAAAACAACCAATATATTAACTTCATATATTTCATTGTATCTCAAACTGTCTTAAGCGTGGGAAAACGCGGGAATCTGATTGGTTGAGAGAGTGGCACGAGTTTTCTGGACCAATTACAGAGCGAAGTAAATCAAACTAAAGCACTCTCGGATTACTTTCGATGCTCAATCGGAAATTGCTGTATACTAGCTAAATCGAAAATTCTAGACTCGCCTGCTCAAAGTGCCTGCTCAGTTCATACGAGAGTCGCCCTACAGAGCACATGATTTCTAGAGCGTTCTTCACAGGGTAATCGCACTTTTGTATGGCTTCCACACACATCTGCACAAGCTCCTCGCGCTCTTGTACGTTGTTTTCCATTCCCTGAAAACAAACATACGAATTGTGGATCAAACATAAAATGATTCTAATAAAGCCGGGTCCACGACACATGACATTCAGAAGTCACCTACTCCAAAGAAGGGAGCGAAAGTCTTGAATTTGTCGTGTACAGTATTTGTTATTTACTTTTCAGTGACGCCTGTTTGGTGCGGTATTTACACTGCAAGGAGAATTGAAGTACATGTCCGAGACGTGGGATCTTTAAAAGGAGGAGGGGAATGGTTACGAATTTCCTCACATCCTACGTCGAGTGGCTTGTTTCACTGCAGAAAGGATCGGCGAATGATCAGATAGCACTCAAAAAGGTTTTTTTGCAATGCATTTCTATCCATTCGCACGTTTTACCACCTGAATTTTATGGCTTGTATGTTGCTGAACGTGTCTGTTGTTGTTTATCTCTCAAAGAGAGAGGACACGGGCTCTCTCTCTCTCCGCTCCTTCCCCTGGGGTATGCCATCGTTGATCATGGTTTGCTAAATGTTCTTGATTTTAGGCACAGACCAACGAGTCGTGTGAAGCCTGGAAACCATTTTATATTGGCCTGAGAACATAGTGCACCTGTCATGCATGTAGGACTCACCAAAAGATCCCCATAGTGTGACGAGATCTCGCTCAGCAGAAACTCTTCCGCATCATCATGGTATTGTGGATTGGTGGTGCAGTAATACGCACTGCTGTCAATGCCAGGCACAGTCGAAGGATTGTCTGAGGTGAATTACAGAAGATGCGAATGAACAAAAAAGACAACCTTGGCAAATGGATACCTACATGCACTCAGTGGCCCAGAGTGTTCCTGGACAGTGCAAGAAAATTTAACCCTTACATCCCAAAGAGCGAATAGCATCCAATTTCTCCCCACAGTAACACCCCTGAATGAAACATGGAGGGTTACAAGAATGTAAAGAGGCTCTCGAGACGGGACCTCCATTTATTCGTCTCTATCCGAGAAGACTAGAATATCTAACCATTTCTTGATGTTATAGAAAGGTAGCAAATTCTTCTCGATTATTTTAAGACTTTGAGTGTTAGTCCGGACGGGGCTCGAACCCTCGACCTCCCGCACAACATTCCAGTGCTCTATCCATTGAGCTAACCGGGAGGCGGTATGTAGAATATGCATTCCGATGTCAGGGTATAAAGGTTTAAATCCCTCAAAACTATAATTGAACGAACTTCTTATATGCTGCCCAAGCTGCGAAGATAAAACAGCTAACTTTCCTAGCCGGAGCCCGAAAATTTCCATTTTGGAGCAACTTCAGAATACCCGTCCACCTCATTTACATGTGTCGGGAGGCTTTGTAGAACGATGCATAAGACACTAGACGCTATTCTGAGTGGCCGGGTATTCTGAACTTTAGCCTTCATTTGGTTGCTTATGAGAATTTGATGTTGTATCAGGACAACATCCCCTTTCATATCATTTTCTCATTCCTCATCACCTGAAAGCTTGACATCATATTACAAATGTAAAGAAAATTCAACAAACAGTCAGATCAAAGAGCAAAATTATTCAAAAGTTCTTCTGACGAGATGCAATCCTTTTGTGGTCGATATCTTCGATTATATGGCCACAGCCATCCCAACCCACTCAACTTTACGTGGATTCACTGAGTCCTTGCTTTAGTTATAAAATCGAGTATCACCAACAGCATAGCTAGGGGTTTGCACAGTATCATGGTCACTGTTAATATCTGACAAACTGCGCACTCACCCCTCCACTAAACCATCATCAGCTCCAACATTATCAGTTAGGTATCGTTGGGTTAGGGGAGGGGTAAGTACGTAGTTGCACTGGTCCTGACATAGTTCCGAGTACCAGTGAGGGAGAATAGTATTACAACCACTGTATACCCACCTTCTACACCAACTCCAAGCACAAACACAGGAGTCCCAACCAAACGTACTGGTGGACTATCCGCAATGGACTGCACAAGTCTGAAACCAAGATGTTGGAAGAAATGACGGCGGAAAGCGTAGCGAGAAAATCGTGATGCCTCACCTCCCGTGGAAACCCAGCTGCCACCCTGACGAAAAAAAAATTCGAATGTCTAAAAAACAGCACAAACTAATAAACCGAACTGAAATAAGGGGAGGGGGAAATTCTAGTCCCTTGGGATTGAATTCCCCGATCATTCTGATTGGTCCTTAGAAGGCACGGAGGTGGGATGTGGCGAAACGTTACTTACCATGATCATGTTGTGTCTTCCATCAAAACATGGCGTGGAAAAGTCATCATAAAGTATGTGAGGTTTGAAATCTTTAAGTCCGTTAAAATGGTCTTCACACCACTCCCATACATTTCCAGAGACATCGCAAAATCCAGCTTTGGAAGGCGGGAACAAGTTAACAGGCTTAAACCGAAAAAAATAAAAGAAAATATATAATATATACCGTATTATAGGTAATCAACAATGCACGTTGACAACGCGAAGAAAATTAACGTTACACTAAATTAACGCGAATTTTTTGATAAGCATCTTGCTTTATTTACTGCGATTTTCATAACTCTGCAAACTCGCACTTTACATTTCTGAACGCCAAACTGCATTTTGGCCTATGTCGATAAAACCCTCCAAGACAAGTCCACGGATGTTTCCAAGTTTTCGTTAAAGCCGAAAATTTGGTTTTGAAGCTTAACTAGACCCTATCAATTCAAAAGATCTTTCAAAGCCTCCGCGAAATCACCAAGTGCTGCTCACTCGTTTGATTGACGGAAACCAAACCGCAGTTTGATGCAGAAACACAAACTTGCTACACTGGCAAAATCTCAACATACACATGTCTCATGGAGAAAATGAAGCATTTACAGAAGTTAGCTTTTAGCAGATAAAGGTGCTTTAAAATAACAATGTTGTAAAATTGCGTGCATTAAATTTACAGCGACATTAATTAAGATACATTAAATTAACGCGAATTTTGTAAAATCGCGTTAATAAATTGCATTGTTAGTTTCCTATAATAAGGTATATATATTACATAAGTTAGACGAAGTAAAGGGAATAAACCATCTTCAAATAACTCATATAATCGACTGTACTTCCATTTTAAATGTCACGGAATTAATCGAACGTAATAATCAAAAAGACTTACAGTGGATGAGCCATAAGCCATATTGATGTTGGCTTTAATATTATCTTGGTAGATAATGTCGCAAATAGTACCCTCTGAAGGAGATTTCTGGAAAATAAAAAAGGATTTTTTTTTTTTTAATTTCAGTGTAGGACAACTAAAAACCCTGGACTATGAACGCAACAGCGTTGGTGCAAAGGAACAGCGACTTTGAAACTAAGTTTTGCTGACAAGACTGGCAAAGCCTAACCTGGGGTCCTCGCATGGCATGATGTTCAGCTTCTGTAGGCAGACGGTAGTCTGGACCTTTCCAAGCACAGAAAGCTTTAGCTTCATGGTAGTTCACTTCTGCAGGCCAGTCCATGGGCATGTCTATCACCTCGAACATTGCACGGTACCTGTTTGTTCGAGCAAAAAGATACAAAAGAAGACATAATTATTTTTAAAACCACTAAAAAAGGAGACTAGTCAGCTTTACGTGTAAGGGTTATCGTCAAAGGTTATATTACATTCATCTAAATCATATATAAAATATGAACTTCGGCTTCTGCCAGGTATTCACTAAATAAACACAGCATGATCTAATTTATTCCATTTTCACTGCATTAAGTTTAGCAGTGGGAAGGACTAGAAAGGAACATAGGAACCATTCGTGCTAGTCCACCCATCCCACCCCAGGGGAGGACATCCATCACACAGTAATCTCGTGTGTGGGAAATTAATGTCTCCTACCGCAACCCTGAAGGAGACGGGACCTCCATTTATTCGTCCCTATCCGAGAAGACTAGAATATCTAACCATTAATTTTTTCTTGATGTTATAGAAAGGTAGCAAATTCTTCTCTATTATTTTAAGACCCTGAGTGTTGGTCTGGCCGAGGCTCGAACCCTCGACCTCCCGCACAACAGTCCCGTGCTCTATCCACTGAGCTAACCGGGATAGCTGCAAAGAGTGAAGAGAGGACAAAGTTTGACACCTGTTGGGTACAACAGGTGTCCCTTGCTTGCCAAAAAACAAGAAATAGCATCCTGAACCAGTTGGTGTGAGTCAGACATCAAATTTTCTTACATCAAAACTTCTCTGACTCACTTGTAAGGACGTTCCATCTCCTCTGAGCCACCATTTGCATGTGTCAAGTTGTTCTGATGATCACCATTCAAGACACCATTAGCAAACCCATTAATGGCACCATTAGTAACACCATTAGCAAGTCCATTGGCAACACCATTGGTAACTCCATCTGCAACTCCATTGGCAAAACCATTGGCAACACCATTGGCAACACCATTGGTAACTCCATCTGCAACTCCATTGGCAAAACCATTGGCAACACCATTGGCAAAACCATTGGCAACACCATTGGCAACACCATTGGCAAAACCATTATGATGCCCATTCATGTTATGATTGACATCACTTTCTAAGTTACAGTGAGAGTAAGTTGCTAGGTCTCCACCACAACCAGATTTGCACTTCTGTCCACAAACCCAAAAAGTAGGATGATGCAATTTGCGGAACTGTTTCCACTTCCAGCCTAAAACAAAATAAGAAATTCATCAATCTCTCCATCTCAAAGTTACATGTACTCTAAGTACTGGAAAATGTTCACCTTAGACACCACGGTGTCTGTCTTAAGTATTTGTTTTCTTCACCACGAGTGAGTTCAATACAATGAACAGCCGCAACCATATTCCACAATATTAACCCTTTCCATCCCAACATCAATATGTATATTATCCATTCTGTTCTCTAACTATTTTGTATGTACATTCGAGAAGAATTAAAATAAGATCTTTTTTATTCAAGGTGATCATTTCCATTATTCTTGTGACCTGAATATATGACTCAAAAGTAATATTGAGAGGGAAATTGGAGGCTCTTCACCCTAAGTGGTTAAATAGTTATGATTTGGGAGTTGTACGTGTCAAACACCGAAACATGAGCAATTTTGATTCAAAAGTTGAGCAAAAATTTTGTAGATTAAACTACATACAAAAAAGTCGGTTTTAAATCTACATTTGAGTTCAAACTAAGATATTTAATTCTGACATTTTTTCTTTCCATTTTGGGCTGAATTCAACTGTTTTATTCCTCTTAAACCGACAACAAATTTACTCAGAAATCAAGCTGTCATTATCGAGGAAATCAAAGGCGAATGTCATTTCAAAGTTATGTCTACAATTGAACAAAGAGGGCTTGAAGAGACAGCTAGTAAACAATTCCAACCTTCGTCAGTCCAGTACTTGGAATCTTCATAGCCCCCATCATTCACAAACTCCAAATACTCCCAGTTGGTGATTAGATACTTGGAAGCCCTGAAAGGTGGAACCCTAGGGAAAGAATGATAGATGTCAGTTTGCTGCATGCATGGAACAATTTTTTAGGAATTAGAAATAGTAATTACCTTGTCATTTAAATGACACCAACACAAAACACACAATGTTTACAACAAGATGTTTATAAAATTCCCCTAAATTTTATATTCTTTTTCATCTCTTCCAAATCAATATTGAAAAGCTACCAAAAATTAGATAGTTATTTAAAATATGCATAATCATTATATAAAGCATGTAAAATACTGGGCCGAGTTGTTCAAAACACGGATAACTTAACCCAGGGCTAGTATGAATTTTTACTTTTAAGTTAGTTTTATAGCTCTGTAAAGGGATTTTTTTTGTATTTTGTCCTAATAGTTTCAAGTCATATCGAGAGAAGAACCAACAAAGCCTTCGCTCTTATAAGCACTCTTCTACATAGGAAATTAAACCCAAGGTTAACTTCTAATCCTGGGTTAACATTAACCCCTTTTGAACAACCCAACTCTGACCACTGAGTGTTATATACAGTAATTGACCAAAGTTACTGCCATTGAAAACTTTCACAAATTACCAATAATATTTACAATATTTTAACACTTGGCTGATAGTTTTTCTAATAAATAATTATTAATAAGGTAAATAAAACCTAAGACTGATTAATTGACATTCAAAGTAACAAACTGGTAACCAAATATATATACATTTCATACTAAAAATAAAAAGCATCCACTCACCTTTTTCTTAGAATTAATAACTTTGAATATTATGTTTAGCTACAATAGCATTTTACTCACAATTTTCATACAGTAAACTCAGAAACTGCTTTATATATGTATTGAATACAGCTCTTAAACAATGGTATTTTCCATGACTAATTTTTTAAGTAGTTTTCAATCAAAAAAACTTTAAGTGCCCAATTACTATGAATGATCATACGAAACTGATTTGCAAGATGGTACTAGGTAATTTTGATGATTTTCAGGCTTAAAAATTTTAACTACATTCATTTTACTAGTAAATAATTTTATATTTAAATTAATTATTATAGCAAGGTAATTAAAACAAAGTTTACAAAATTAAGAAACATTGCAATTAGGGATAAAAAGTAGCTTACCATTAAATTATTTTATATTTGCAATGATTAAAATGTGCTGCAGCTTAATCAACCTTGGTGCACACAATATTAATAGCAACAAAGACAACACACAAACAATGGATGGCAACAAAAACAGCACAACAATGGATTTTAAAACATCAGACAATTAAGTGTTGTTTAACAAAGATTCAAACTCACTAATCCACAGCTAATGGGACAGACATATTTATAATCAACTTCCACAATAAGTTAATTCTTCCAAAGTTGTAGTTTGTGACATTTATTCAACTGTCACAATTCACATATTTCTACTAGAGTAACAACTTGAGGGCAGTCAAATTTTTGGTCTTGTAGTCTGATTGTCTAAGTGAGCAAAGTCCTGAGATGTCCATAGCATGAGGACTGCGTGATGTTTAAGGATAACCTTATTATCATCAGCAGAATCAAGTGAGGAGTTGTCTGTACAGATGTCAGTTGTCGCATGTCTAGTTCGCGAGTCTGATTGTTTGAGTGACAAAAGTCCTGAAATGGACTTTTGTCCATAGCAAGGACTTACGATAGGATAAACAGCTGTCATAAGCAGTTCAGGTAAAGAGAGGAATTGTCTGTCCTTTGGGTGTTTTCAGTCTGGTTCATGAAAACTGATCAGTCAGAGAGAACTGATGGGTCAGTTTTGCCATGGTGTTACTGTGATAGTGAAATAAAGGTGGAAAGATCACTCTTTGACTGCCAATTCTAACAGATCATGCACCGTTTCTCAGACCCTGCTAACTCACTTGACATTCCATTCGCCATATTCGTTGTCCCAGCCATATGATGGAAAGTTTTCTGGTTTGCCCATGCTCACAGCCCGCTCTGTTATTTCAATCAGTGGATTGGACGACACAGGATCGCCTGATAATTGGTATCATACAGGATTTTACAAAACACTATTTCGTTTATAACACACCGGAAATGTGGAATTCCCATGGGAGAGAAGATGGAGCTCAAGATCCTCTTGGTAAATGAAACCCACAAATCTTTTCCTATTGAAATTTTAAATTCTTGCCAGGTTTTCAAAAAAGATTAAAATGGAGACATAGGAAGGTTTAAGATACTCGGGACCCACCTTAAAATCCAATGAAACAGGTAAAGGGATGGACATAAATTATCCTTGACAATAAATCTCCTCTAAGTCACTCAACCATTCCTCTCTGCTCTCCTCTTTGTACAATACACATGATATCCCCTTCACCCCCCTCCCAGCCAATTCCTCCCACCCTTCCCCTCTAGTTTCTGCTATCTCATACATTCCACTCTTTCAAATTGATTTTTCTCACTTTAAATCCCACTTTTTCTGCAAACCATTCCTTCAACTCAACCCACTTCACACAAAATCAATTTTGTGTTTGTTAATTTTTCCCCACACCCAAATTTGAAAAAAGAAAAAAAACCTGGCAAGAATCTCTAGTGTTTTGTAAATTCTGCATTTTGGACAATCCATTACTGTTTTGTCAAAAACTTTGGGTGCATTTTAAAAGCAGTTTTTTGGTAGACAGTCCAGTAAGATTTTCTTTAAACATTCAGTTTCAAACAATGAAAACAGTGATGACTGCAAAAAAAATTTGAAGCAGCAGCCAGTTTTCACTTCCTTTTGGAAATAGATTTCAAAACAAGGAATGCATGTGCAATGTATTTTGCTGTGACAGGCATTTGTTTTCATTAGCAGCAATGATCAGTATGTGTCAAACTCGAAAAGTAATTAAGGGCCAATTGAATTTGAGTATTCAGTTGTATCACAAAGCAATAATTCTAACCAGTTTGCTCCAATTGTTAAGTTTTAGTCTCCATTTAAAATTAGTCAGTCTGCTTTCAATTTTTGTTCAGAATAATTTGTTAGCACCTAATTTACACTTGGATGTTTTAAGATCACTAATTTCTTGGAGTGATAATTTTCCTCCTGGACACTTTTGGTGCATTTTGCATAATCCTCAAAGAACAATGGACAATTTCCGTGAGAGTTGAGTTACAAGCTCTATTCTCTTCAGGTTGTGTTATGTATTTGCTATAGTTGTGCATTTGTGTAACACTTTACATTTGATGAGAATGTTTGAATCATTCCACCATTGTGATACAGATACCTCACGAAGGATGGATTTCATTCTGTGAGACAGTGAACTGGTAGTCGAGACAAAGTAAGTGTTCTGTTCCAGCTATGCATGGGCACAAATCTGTAGGCACCTTGTTACGAGACCAGTTTCCAGGATAACAGAAGGCTAAGGTCGGGCCATTTTCATGGGAACCAGAGATGAACACATTTTAGGACCCACAAGGATGCAGTTCAGATATGAAAGGGGCCCTTACCTTGCCCCACCACAGACTGATAGAGTTTCATATTTTATAGGAACACCTTATGGGTTTGCATACTATTCCAATATAACAGTCATTTTCCAAGCATTGCAACCATAATAAAAAAAAAAACCTTTTTAAGGTTAATGGCCTGTATTAACATACATACTCTGTAGTTGCCATATATCATTTTGGAGAAACTTTTCAGTTAAGTGTAATGTATAGATAATACTTTTTATTTGTAACAGTTTTAGATGAATTTGTTCACAATGAAGTTTTCAACTAAGCAGACAACTTAGTTGCTAACACATAAACAATAACTGCTTTGGAAGCAATTTAAGATCTTGCAGTAGATTTTACAAAGCTTATCATTTTCATGACATGAAGTTTAAAGTAATCCAATCCTCTCAAGAAGGTGTAATACATTTTACGTATACCAAGGGACTGTTATATTGGAATAGCTAATATCATGAGTTAAACATATATTAAAAATGTCAGTGTACCCTCTAATTCTTTACTTCTAACTTAATTATACACAAATAGTTCTTTAGTATTCTGCTACTAAATTTTATGCCAAAATACGCAACCTTGGCTACCTGAAAACTGAATCTAACTCTTTCCTAACAACCATACACACTGCCTGGCTAAATAAAACTATCCCATATAATTTTTTCCTCCCACAACATGATGTCTGCCTTTCCAGTAATCATACGTAGTTAGCAAACATATGAATGCCTTACATGATATCACAATTATGTACAAGCTATGATTTTTACCTGTAGTCAATGGTCCATTTTTCCATCCCTTGGGCTTCTTGACAAGATCCAGTGGCATCTGACGAATCAACACTGAGGAGGTCTCAAAGTGGATCCTTGCAAAAAGCAAAAAAAATGGGTTGATTGTTATATAACATATCATTAATTAATATACAGCTAGCAAACTTCAATAAATATCCATGTATTATCAAAATACATGCAAGCAAATACAATTCTACAGGAGTAAGAAATTAAATTTTTAATCCCGAAAGTGGCCAAATTAAGTAATTTGCCTTAACAGCATCTATGCATTGTTAACTGCAATATTCCATTTTATGGTAGCATGCTTAGCTTGGTTGTCAAGCCTTTGAACAGGAGTGGGGCCAATTGTGACCTTGCTATGATAAAATCATTCACTCCAAATAAAAGGCTTGGCAGCTAAGTACACAACTGTGAAATGGCCTTCTTACATACATGTGTAATATAATTTTGTGGGAAGTAAAAGGGTGAAGAGTAAAAGGAGGTCAAAAACTTGTGACAAAGAAGCTGTTATCGTTCTACAGTCAGTTTAATAAATACAGGCAATTAATTCAATTGTATTAAAGATCTTACCTAGTTGCTTGCTTTCCTTATTTCAAAGGAAGCTGGTGGAATATACATCTTATAAGGATTTCAGGTATTACAGATTAATTAGCATATTGCAAAATCAACAGAGCAAATGCTATAAAAAATACATCTTTAATCTTAAGTGCCACACCTTTCATGTTCAAATCCCATGAAAACTGCCCACTAAAATAAAGATAAGACACCCACTATTAGACCACCTTTGCCAAACATAATATGATCAGCACACAATCATTTAATCATAAATTCAAAGGGTGATAAAAACTAAGGTCTTTCCTTACCAGGTGTGATCAATATACAACTTCTCAACTCTAATTAACCCCTAAGAGTGACTAACACCTAATTTCTCCCAACAATATCACCCCTGAATTACTCATTCAAACATCACAATAATCACCGTATTTACCCGTGTATAATATATACACGCCCACATGTATAATGCAAACCCTTGTTTTTAACCTAATTTATAGGGAAAAAAGTTTTCCACGGCAAAAAAAGACAAGTGAAATATTTGTAAAATTATTTAATAAGACAACAAGAATATAGAACAMATTTACTATATCATTAACATCAATATCTTTTGCTACTTAGTTATTTATGACATTATTGAAATCAAACTTTAGGACTTTAAGCGAGGCCTGGCTTAATTGACAATTCCATGGCCCGATAAATATTATGAGTGAGCAACAATATATCTGAAAAGTATTGAAGATTTTGTGTCATGTTGTCATATTTTTAGAATTTTCAAACTAATGCTATGCAATTTTCTGGCCATAAAAGTAAAGTAAACAACAATAGAACCTCGATGAATTCCACTGTGTGCACTTTGCACAGAGAAGAAACTGAACCGTGCATTTTTCACTTGTAACTACAGCAAATCAAGAACTGCTTTAAATAAAGTTTTTGTCCTGAAATATTTCTCACTTGCTTTCTTCTTGCTTCTCACTGAAAAATTCCATGCAACATGAGATCTCTTCACATGCGGCCAAATTTGCATATTCACTCTGAAATCTGATCCATGTGCCTGTTTGCACAATTGCGAAAATATTTAGCCT